TCTGTACATTACACGTTACATTAAACTACATTGCTCTTTCTATTTTGAAGTTTTAACCTGTGGAGGTTTCGTTTTTCTCAGTTTTCAACAGTCTCAAAAAATCATTTTCATTTGTGCAGCATCACCTTCATGTAAAGTCTACGGCTGGTGCAACACGATCCTGCTTTTTTTCTGGAGTGAAAGTGTTGTGGTTCAGAGACAAAATGCCTTTTAGTCATAAACAGTCTTTCTGCCTCCTTTAAACACTGAAATCAGAGGCATAGTCAATAGCTGTAGTCTCTTTTTCATTATTACCTGATATTTTTCTTTAACGCTTTCATCTTCTTGCAGCTGTGGCTGGAGGACGATGTTGAATTGTATGATTTTGCAAAAATCAGACCATATATCAAGAAGAAGCAAGTGAGGGTAAGATATTCACTTCAAAGATGTATCATCTGTTCTGTCATTAGGACAGATTGGGTTCTAGTTTGTGGCTGTCAAATAGATAATGTTGCATTGCATGGTGACTTGGGAGCTGAAGCAGTTGGTTCCATCGCTGTTATTTCAGTAATAGTGTTTATTGGTACTGGCTACTTGTGTGTGGAAGGAAAAATCATCTCATGTGTCCCCGAGTTCAATTTAGCAGTTTAGTCCTTTAAGTGACACATCTGGAAGCAAAGCAAAGTTCTTTGATTTTTGGTTCTCCAGCTGCATTCAACAACACAAATCATGTGGCAGAGGTGAACCCTGGGTCCAAATCCACTAATCGCAGCAATTCCACTGCAATGAATTGATTTTTTAGATGGAAATATTCATTTGACCAAGTCTGTTGACACAAAGAAAAATGGATTTTTTTGTGTCATGTAGACAAGAACAGGGTTTGTAATTATCCCATTACTGGTTATATTGATATTAAAGTCTGTTTTGTAGCTACTGCATTTTTTTGACAGAAAAATTAGACATTTCTTTGAAGTATTTTTCTATTTAGAACAGATGTTAGAAAGTCAGATGCAGGTTAAAACTCCAGTTGACCAAAAATATTGTTACTGCTGTCTGCCCTTGTTGGGCAGTTTGTTCCCACTGTCACAGAGCACTTGCTAAAAGGGAATCTCTGAGATTTGTTGGGTTTGTCTATATAATATAACATTGTTAAGTCTTAACCTTGCTGTGTAATCTGCCCTGAGATGACATATGTTGTGAATTGGTGCAATAGAAATCAACCAATTGAATGATTTGAGTGTTAACTGTTGACTACCTGTTAGAAGGAGAAGCAAAGAACAGCAGTGAATATGCAGTGATTGTGGTTGATTGTTCTGTGTCTCCCTGCAGGTACCAGCTGGTCTGTCAGGATACAAGCCTGAAGTATTCAACAAGTTTCTGTCTCTGTACCTGCATGGAGCTGCATAGGACTGCTGCTTATCTCATAAATCTGTCTATCTGTGTGTGTGTGTGTGTGTGTGTGAGAGAGAGAGAGAGTGAACGAGGAGACTATGCAGTGAGTCACTGGTTCAGTATGTATGTGTTTTAGATCTAAACCAATATCTTTACAGATAACTCCTCATTTCCTGTCAAACAGTCAGAGACAACATGTTGTATGTTCTGGCCTGTTTGAACTGACTGAAGCTACAGTTTGTCATATTTTGGGTCCATCTCTGTGTTACAGTGCGGTCAATAAAAGCTGTCGGCTGAACATGGTGTCCTGCCTGACCCTTTTAAAGTGAACTATTTTGTTATTCGTAACAGTTCTTTCTCTCTTTCTTCGAATCTTCTGGTTTATTTGCAGCAAAGAAATTTATTTTTCTAGAGAATGTTCTGTAACCTTCTGGTAAGTTTTCTGTTCGTGACACATGCCAGTGTATGTTTTCCATAGATTGCATTTCCCAAAACAATGTTATTATTCATAGTTTTATAGGTTTCTGACAGACAGTTATAAAGTCCCTCTCTGGTCATTGATTAAACCCCTGAAGATTCATCGCTGTTTTACATATTTGGAATTTTTCTTCCATGAGTTTAATCCCTTCCTGCCTTTAGATGACTTAAAAGCTACTCTACACCTTTTGCTTTTGAGACAATGTGCAGATCTATGAAGTTCCTGCCACCCTCTCCATTCACCCATTCACTACTTACTGCAGCTCAAGCGCACCAGCTCACATACAACTCTGCTCAAACGCTATAAAACCACTGCACACTACACAATGACAAGTTGTAATATTGCCATAATGCAGGCATGCATGTTTGAACCGATCCTGCAGAAAAATAACAAAACAACCTCACCGTGTGAGCTGAGACGATTTATCCTTGGTTTTGTTATGAAATCCTGAAAGTTTGAATCAGTGTTTTTGAGGCAGTCATCAGTACACTGAAGTTTTAAGGTGGAAATGACTGCTGACTTGATACATTTATGTTCCTTCCGGCAGATAAAAAAACCCTATCTGGATATGTTACCAGTGTACAAATGAAAAAGAAAGATTGTATGGCGATACGATATATATGAATGCTTCTGCTCAAAGCCTGAGTGTTTTAGATTCAGTTTATCACGGCGCTTATCACAAGTTTTTAAGTCTTTTACACATCATTGTTTGTTGCACTCTCGTGTTGGATGGTCAGATTTGACCACACGAAGGAAAAACACTGGTATATTTTTATTTATAAATGTATTTTAGGCTTGCTTCCTCGTTATTTACAGGTTTTTATTTGTATAAAAGCTGCAAGTGGTTACAGTTGCAGTCCCAGGATCTACTGTTACTGTCTGTTCCTAAGGCTAGAACTGAACGGGGAAAGCAGGCTTTTAAATTCACTGCTCCCTCGACCTGGAACACTTTACAAAAAGACCTGAAACTTCAAGAGCTGGTTTCTTTAAATACTTTTGAAGTGCTTATGAATGACTTGGAGGCAAAAACATCAGTCTGTAGATGTTTCGACAGATGATTATTTTGCTTGTTATGTTTCTGATCTCTGCTGATATGTTCCTTTCTTCTGAATTTGTGTTTTTTCATGCATTATGAGTAATGATATCTGTGTGGATGCTGTGACCTTGTCTGTCTGTCAGTTGTGCTGCTGCCTGTCTTGGCCAGGACACTCTTTTTAATCTCAATGAGCCTTTTCCTGGTTAAATAAAAGTTAAAATTTTTTTTTTTTTACAAGAGGGAGTTTTAAACTTTGACAGTAGTGGTGTGAATTTGCAGAAAGGTCATATTTTCATAAGCAAGTATGATTTGTAGAAAGGCAGTGCTTGTCATGTGAGGACAGCGCAGTAACAGGTTCTATTTAGGATACAGAGTTGCAAATGTGTGTCGCTGGGCAAATTGCCTAGAAGCGCTTTATCTGCCACATCAAACAGCGAAACCTCTGCTGTAAATAAAAGTCTAAAGAAGTCAATGATTGTCTTCATGGTGACGCGCTGCAAAATGCCCCCTCACCTGGTGATCTGTGCTCGGAGTTTACTTGGGGGGGTGCCAGCAAATATTGACTTTTAATATAACCAGAAATAACACAGCTTCGATTGATTTCCACGAGAGTACCTTCTCGAGTAATGATGCCTTCATGAAGTATGCACTAGATGACATACGACAGGCATGTCAGCATATCAACCTGTGAAAGGCCACAGCAGGTAGACAACAGAATGCAGCAGGGTGAGCTGGTTCACGCCCTTTAATGACAGGAAACGCTGGCTTAAAATGCACTGAACCGACCTCACAGTGACAGAAGGAGACCAGCAGAGGAATGTACAGCACAAACAGAAGGATGCAGGCAGGTAATTCAAAGCGTTGTCGCAGTTGTGTCGTGTGTAGAGGTTTGTCGAGTTTGCAGAAGATCAGTCAGGTGTTTTGCCTTCACAAAGTTCAAATCATAAAATCACTGCTGGTATAATTTTCTTGCTCTGCCATCTCTGCTATTTCTGTTAGTAGACTTTTAATCACTTTAATTGTCATTCTTTCAGTGGTTGTGATATGTAGTCAGATATTGTTTTCAAGTGTTTGTTTTTTTCAACATGTCCTGTGAAACTTTCAAAGTAGCAGCAGTTCAATTGCACACTCACATCACACCTGGTGGGAGGTATAGTACGGAGGCACTCTGGTTGAATTGATGTTTGTGAGGGGAAGGAGGTCGGTGCTTATAGATGTGACTGCAAACAGTGGAATCTACAGGAGATAGTTGTAGTTAAAACTGTACGCATTGTGTTCTGTGGATGTGGCTCATCAAGAATAACGACCGGTCTGTTTCTGGAAAGATGTGTTGCAGCTGAATTTTCTGCATCTTAGTGTTGATGTTGTACCTCAAGCTAAATTCTGTTCGCCTGCATTGTATTGGTAGCATTTCAATGGTCAATAAAATTAGTCTAAATAGGCAGATATCAGTGTTAAGCAGTCAGAGCAAATTTAACAAATACATAAAAAATGGTATAATAGCTGTACTTTTTAATTTCAGTGAAACATGTGAAATAAATTCAAAGTAAAACAGCTCACCTAAAAGCAATGTGCAGGACAAAAGGAAAACAATACAACACCTCAATTCAACTAATCTATCTACAGTAACTTAGTATAGTGTTTACAACTTAAAAGGTTGATCTAAATAAGTAAATTAGAATTTTTGTCTTTCAGTTTTGTGTTGTTTTTAAGGAATATTAGTTTAAAGAACACACTTTGTCAAGTTAATTCAATTACCAATATTTTTTTTACGTCGATTTAACCGATTGATATAAAACATGAATTTAGTTTTAAATCAACTAAAGCAGAAATTTGTTTATAGTACGATGTTAAGTTGGTGCAATTTTCAATGTTATTAAGTCAACATAACCTATCAAAATAATGTTTGCAATTTAAAGTGTTTATCAAAGTCATTGAATTAGAATGTTTTCTGTTACAAATATGCATACAATATCTGAAAACAAAGATGCTGTGACACTGAAGGAGCAGTTTAACCCCTGAAAACACACAGACACACCACAGGAAGAGCACGTTGGTTAGTGCAGCTTTTATTTTGACAGACCCTACCGGAACACGAGTTGCTGTTTACTTTACGTGGTGTCTGTGTGGAACTTGACGCTGTGACTGTCCGCTGCCAGGTTCGTATCTTCATTTAAACTAACATGTCAAAGCTAACTATCGTTTTATGTCGTTTAATTGTGAGGACGGCTAGTGTCAGCATTGGCAAGAGCTTTAACCAGCTAGCATGAACGTGTTTGGCAGCTTTATGAGCCGCTAACGTGAGAGTGCGTATGTGTGTGTTTTTTTTAAAGTGAGTAAAATTAATAACTCAATAACTTCAGCGACCAGCAAACTCTCTGCTAGCAGGTACTTTATATTTTATATGTATGTTTCTGAAAGAGATGACTAGATAATTGCACATCTGTTGTCAAATATAAAACCGACTGAAAGCTAAACACACTGTTTATAAAAGATGCAGCAGCTACGTCCATCTTTCATACACAGTCTATAGTAAACTACAGGTATTTAGCATTAGCCTGTTTAGCTCCTTGCTACTGTACCTTGATGTTTCTTGAACTAGAGGGACTTTACTTCTTGCTATGAAGTCTGACTGGAAGTGTTTTGCAGTGATCCGTGCATCAACACTGCAACACAAACAGACCTCTAACTCGTAAATGTAAACCGGTCTGGTGGGTTTCTGCACATGTGGCTACCTGCGAAATGCAGATGTGGAGATGTAACTGTGACTAGAACAAAACTTTACCGAGGGGGGAAAAAACAGGCATTCATTTGAAAGTGATTCATGATCAGGAAGTCATTGCACTAATCTGTGTCGCCATCATTAGCTGTGTGAATGTAATCGTCAGTAAAACACTTGAGCAGTGTGTCCTGGTGACTCATGGTCTGAGGAGACTGCCTTTTAAAGTAAAGATAGAGAAGTTGAAGTTGAGGTTGTGGAGCCACATACAGTCGTCCTCAGATGTGTTCATAGCCACCCTGACAAAAAGTAATAGTAAATACAAAAAATATGAAAATCATGACATTGCTTTTGAATTGTGGATCATCAGAAATATTGAAAAAACAAGACAAACAAAAAAAACAACAACATGCAAACAAGCATGATGGGACCCATAAACTCATATCTTGTTGAACAACTCTTTGAGCCAATCACTGCAATCAAGTGTTTTCTGTAACTCTCAATCAGACTTGATTTTGGCCCTCTGCTCATCGGCAACGTGCTCTAATTATTTTTTAAATTATTCTTTTCAACCACAATTCAAAAGCAGTGTCTTATTTCACTAAATTATAATTTAGCAAATTTTTATTTATTATTACTTTTTCCAGTTTCTAGTTATTTGAGTGACTGTTGTGAAATTTGCCTTTTCTTTAATGGAAGGGTTTGAATACATTTGAGGACGACTGCACAGTGTACAACAGAAGTGAGTACAATGCCATCTAAATGTAACGTGTTTCAAAATTGGATCACCTCTCAATAACTAAAGCATTTCTAAGTTGAAAAACGCCTGCAAAAACTAATGCCTGAGAAAGACAGGCTCCTGTAGAATTTCAATGCAACAATAGTGAATATACAGGATGTCACATTTCTGCAAATATTTTATTATATCTTTTCATGGGACAACACTGAAGAAATGACACTTTGCTGCAATGTAAAGTAGTCAGTGTACAGCTTGTATAACAGTGTAAATTAACTGTCCCCTCAAAATAACTCAATACACAGCCATGAATGTCTGAAATGCTGGCAACAAAAGTGAGTACACTGTTGGGCCCAGTGTCATTATTGTGTGTGACCACCATTATTTTCCTGCACTGCCTAAACCCGCTTGGGCATGGAGTTCACCAGAGCTCCACAGGTTGCCACTGGAATGGCACTGGAACATGCAAACTCCATGCAGAAAGATTCCGGTGCCCCAACCGGGACGCGAACCGGTAACCTTCTTGCTGCGAGGCAACAGTGCTACCAACTGCGCCACCTTGCAGCCCTCACTGCATGAATATGTTTATTAATTGACTTTTGAGCACCACAAGTTTTTTTTTTCTGTTTTGGACCTATGAACTGTGTCTGTTTGCATCATGGCTCCACATGGAAAAGAATAGCCACAAGATTAAAAAAAATCAGATCACAAGGCTTCACAAAGATGTGAAAGAATCCAGGAAGATCAACTAAAAATCAGTGGAGACACAGTTGCAGCAGTAATCAGGGGTTATAGAATGAGTCATAGTACCACTAATCAGAGCTGAGGTGGTCATCATCCTTAAATGACGCCACGAACAGAACACTACTTGCACGATCAATCTGTAAAAAAACAGATGGGCAAGTGCTTCAGACTTGGCACAGGGGTTATCAGTGGAAGAGATTCTGTGATAGCTCAGACAGTGAGAAGAATGTTGCATGAACAGCATTCTTTGCTCGCTGTCCGGCACTAAGAGTAAACCTTCTCAAACAACATGAAAACAACCCAGATGATTATTTGCAGCATGTTCTTTAGACAAATGAGTCCAAGATAAATTGAATCCAAGTGAATGCATTGTCCTGACAGTGAAGCACGAAGGCGGGAGTGTGATGATATGGGGCTGCATGAGAGCAAAAGGTGTTGGGGAGATGATATTTATAGATGGCACAGTGAATGTGTGTGAAAATACAGCCTGACAAGATGACTCCCTGTCTGGAAATATTGGTATCCTCAATGCTGAGGAGTACTGGGCCAGTCATCAAAAATAAAGGTGCACATATGAAGAATTAAAAAAATTTGATTTGAATCTCGGTACTGACTTTTGTTGCACTGAGTTCCTACTGTGAGGCCTGCATTTTAACATGTTAATTCAAACTTAGTTCTTAATTTCACAGAGGTGCAAATATCTACTGTTCAACTTACTAAGTACTATAAATATTATCAGGTAATACAGTTTTCAGTCATTGATTACATTGATACTGAAGTTGTATCTCACAGGAGTGAACTCACTTCTGTTGTAAACAATACATGATCAGCTCCTTAAAATCCTGTTTATGCATCGTGAATATGCCTTTGATAGATGCAAAATCATTCTGTATGGCATTAAAAACCTTCTGAACAGCTTATTTTAAGGGATTTGGTTCAGGAAGTAGCTCCACAACCAAAGGAACAACCTCAACAAAGCTTGTTTGTGAACAGGCTACATGTGTAATTACAGCTTGGCTCTAAGACCTAAAAGGTGCATATTGATTGTATTGGTGCCTGTTTTAATTTAAAAAAAAAAAACTCCTCCCCCAGCTTTGATGATGACTTCCAGACTGTTTGGTGATGTGGAGGATGAAGAGGAGGAGGAGGAAGAAGAAGAAGAGAGGAACAACCCGACAGAGGTGAAAATGAGTCAGATAGTGATGCCGTGTCACAGCAACCATCGGCAGGAACTGAGCGTGGGACAGCTGCTCAAGTGGATGGACTCCACCGCCTGCCTCTCTGGTGAGGTTTGTGTGTGTGGAAATAGGTTTTTGTTACATTTATGAGTGTCCAGTGTGTGACGCAAAGCCAAGCCAGACAGAAAATGACTTATCACTGTGTCATATGGGCAGCTGAGAGGCACGCTGGAAGTCCCTGCGTCACTGCTTCCATTGATGACATCTACTTTGAACACACAATTAGGTAAGAAGACGTGTGTGTGTGTGTTAGTTTGCAAAAGGGTGGATCTAAATGCACTAATTCTTCTTTTCTTTTGCTCAGTGTGGGTCAGGTGGTGAACATCAGGGCGAAAGTCAACAGAGCTTTCAACACCAGTATGGAGGTCAGTGAAGGTCAAGTTGACATAGTAGATAGATAGATAGATAGATAGATAGATAGATAGACAGATAGATAGATAGATAGATAGATGGATAGATCACAGAAGTAGTAACGAGTCTCTGTGAGTTTTACTGGAAATTCTTTGGTCAAAAGGACAGTCACATTAGCAGGAGTATGCAAATGTCAAAGTCCCTTTGTATTCAGCCTCCTCCCATACTCTCAGCTCCGCCCTGGTTCTCCTGAACTCTGTGGTCGAGCATCGACGACCTCAAGTAAACTCTCACGCTTTTGACGTACTCAAAGCTGTGGGTGGAATTACAAGTGTGCCAAGTAAGCACAGACAGTATTTTCCCATTCAGTTCTAATAATCATAAGGTCATGCAAGTTCACGATTATTTACACAAAACGTCAGTTCGTTTCTGTTACAAATTCAAATGCGGATCGACCGATACGGTTTTATCAGAGCCGATCTTGTTACCAACATAAGGATGCTCTCTTTTCTTCCCTGTGAGCTCTATAACTGTTGGTCTATTTTCCAGATTGTTCACTGTTTTATCACTTTTATTACCCACTAAAGCCAATATCTCAAAGTATTGTGTGGTTTTGTTTTCCAGACTCTGTTTCAGGCTTCCTGCTAACTTAGCTGCTAGGCTAGCTTAGCCTTTGCCACTGTGAAACGAACCAATTTCCTGATTTGTGGCGATGGCTGTGCTTCTTGTTCAGTTTTTGCAGGTTGTATCTGCTAAAGAGTCTCATTCTTGTCAGTTACAGCAGACTGTTCACGTCAACCTCACTATTAGATGTTACGATACACCAGACAACGAGGCACAGCAAGCCTTGTAGTCATAGCTTTAGCACCGTCAGCAAAATAAGTTCCTGTCGTACTGACAACAGCAAGTGACAATCAAGACAGACAAGCAATATTCTGGCATTTTAGGTGTATTGGGGAAACTGGGCATGCTTGCGTAACATTGTGGTGGTTTGTACACCGTCAGCAGTATTGGCTACCTCACCTTCAAAACATGGCTCAGTTCTGCAAATGTGGTCATCTGTCTAAACAGCAGCTTTCAGTGTTGATACGCTCAACACTCAACCAATCAGATAGTGCTGTAGGCGGGTCATGGAGCATTTGATTTATTTTGTCGGTAATCGGTTAATCAAGATAATGATGCTGGAAAAAATGCCTAACACTGGTCCTGATGATCAGCCAGGGTTAGGGATAACCGTTCTCTAATCTCTAGTTTAAACTGTCAGCTTTGGTCTTTGGCTCACAATGAGTGTAAAATAAATCTGTGTTTCCTCATTGACAGAAATCTGTGCATTTTCCTGTTATTTTAGATCATTTCATATCAGAAAATGTATTATTCTTGAGTAAATGAAATCACAAGCAACAAAACATTCTCACTTCCTGTCATTTTGGTGCTGGTGACTTTCCTTTGGCTGTGGCTAAAATCCTTTTGGATGGTGCTGAAAAACTTCTTTGGACAGTTTGGTGAAGACATTTGTCATCGTTAGTAGGCTGCTCTGTTGTGAAAGAAGCAGAAGCCTCCACCGTTTTAAGCTACCGTCAGAAACCATTTCAAATTCTAAAAGCAGATTTGACCACTGGGTTGAGATGCTATTAATCTTTTTACCATTTTGTTTCATGTGTGTGGGATTATCTGTATATCTATTATGTGACCAACAGCTTGACCAGGAAAGACGAAGTTAATACTGGTAGTTACAAGGATACTGGTTGCTGCTGTTAGTAGGCTTTTTCTTCTTGTGTGATCAGTAGAATAGTGTTTTTCCCTCAACATATGAAGAAATGCTGTCATATATTCACCATAGATTGTCCCTTATATTCCACTCCAGGTGGGCATACAGGTGAGCTGTGAGGACCTGTTCTCTGATCGTCACTGGAGGGTTTGTCACGCTTACGCCACCTTCGTTACCCAACGCACAAGCACAGGACAAAAGGTGAGCGGGGCTGTATGGACTGCCAAGAGACCCACAGGGGTGATTCTTTTGGGGTTTAAGAATGGCTGTGGTGTGGTCGAGGAAAAATTGCTGTAATACTGACTGCAGTGCACAAGAAGAAGGGAATCATAATTAACCCTCTGAACCCTAAGCCGTTTTTTTGCACTTCTTTGCTCCATTTACATTTTTAGGCTCATGTTTCACTCCAGTATAAAGTGATGCACGTCTATAGAAAGAGCACAACCATGTCTGAAGAACTTAAAGATGTCTTTTGTACAGTTTTTGTCAGCTCAACATGCTAAAGATGGGCTATTTGACATTTTTACAGCCTCTACAAACATTTTTCATTCTACTTTGCACATCAACTCTGCAAAGATATTTCAACAACTTTCACCAACTTGCTCCTCTGTGTACTGTTTTTGAGCCATGCTGCATTTATTTTATGAAATAAAAATATATATATATGTATAAAATCTCCTCTCTGCTCTGTATTAACACAGTCTGCAGTCATTTTTTTTTTATCGCATTACATGTTTTTTTTTTTATCCATTGGCAGGTTCTTGAGATCAGAGAGTTACAAAATAAAAAAAATGACCAATGACTTCTGGCTGTGTCTCATATGTCGATGTATAGAAGTAATGCAAAACAGATTCAGATATCATTTAATGCCGTTAAGGTCTAGTCTGCATGTTTGTGTGATAACGTGTGCAGGTCTTGTTAAATGCACACTAAAATTTACTGTCAAATTACGTCACAGGTGACTTTGAAGCCCATCGTCCCTCACACTCAGAAGGAGCAGGTGGAGTACAGCGTGGCAGCTGAGAGGAGGAGGGTCCGGATGGTGCACGATGACATTATCAAAGACTTGCTCTCCAGTGGGTCGATCCAGCAGGGTAGGTTTGATGTACACTGTTACATCCCAGCATGCAAAGAAACGAACATGCTCTTTATTATGTTCCTGTCGTTTTTCTTAGTAAATATTGGGCATGGCTTGGGTTTGAAATAAACATTTTCTTTTGAATTTTGTAATCGTTAAATTAAATAATGAAAATTCACGTGATTGTATCTCAGCTGACAGCTCGGCAGTCTCCAATAAAGTGGCAGCAGAAAAGACCAAGGTGGAGAGTGTTGAGCTGGTTCTACCTCCACATGCAAACCATCAGGTTGTTGATTTATTTGTGTATCTGTTTGTCTGCCTCTCTCTCTATTTGTGTCACTCTTGAGGAAGGAATCAGCAGCTTTTCCTCGATGAGATAATATTTCATATTTGATGCTATATTTGACCCTGTTCTTAAAATATCTGAGTTCGATTGGGATTTTTAGCACTTTTCTGTGCAACACAGGGTGAATTTAAACATCAAGGGCCTCATTTCTGACTGTATGCACATGGCAGAGCATTTTCATCACATCTTTTATTTGCTTTTTTTTTTTGCCTTGATTACATAAATAGGTTTGAAATGATAGGAATAGTGAAGTAAGAGAGCAGGGCAGTGACATTCCCGTCTGGCTGAAAATCAAACAGTGGACTCAGCTGCTAAGGAGATTTTCCCACATGTGATGTGAGCCTTAACCACTTGGCTATGAGGGCACCTATTCTCTAAACGTTTTGAACCAACGTTTTCGAATCATACTCATCATTGATTTAGTTTAATTGATACCAAACTATGATTTATGCTTTTACTTCATAATACATATTGAGGTTAGTGTGGGTAAGTGTTCTCATGTATATATATATATATATATATATATGTGTGTGTACTAAGACTAAATATTTCATAAGCATCTCTCCATTTTTAGAAACACAGGCCAAGCCAAATCCCAACTATTTATATCTGTGATTTATTTCATCAGTTACAGTCCTGTCTACAGCTGACTGTGCTGCTTTCATCAGCTGCTGGCTCATCAGCACATTCCTGCTCCTGAACAGCCCACAGGAGAGGCGTCCTGTTCACTCAGTCACGAGGGATTTGCTTTGTCCATTTATGCTTTAATTGTGGGAGCTGCTGGGTGGGAGTGTCTGAGGCTCGTCTCTGTTCACTGGAGGGGAAAATTGTGTGTTTTTCACCATTTTTCTCAAATTTTAATAAGGATTCTATGCACAGTTTTATAAATGAGGCCCCTGACATTTGATGAATTAAAAGGGTTTTTTGTTTGTACAGTCTCACATCAGTGTCAAATAATTTGTGTTTGTCTAAATATCAGGTGAATACTTTTGGAGGACAGATCATGGCCTGGATGGTGAATGTAGCTACGATTGCTGCCAGGTACAATCACATTCATTATCTTACATTTTTGGTGTCTTTTCCATAATTTGATAGCAGTCGTGATGCTGTAGCTAAATGTGAAGCGAAGATCCACACACACACATTTAAAATTCCTTATTTGGGCACCACTAGAGCTCACCTGGTTCAGCTGCCATCCCATGTATAGGAGCTATAGTCCCCAACTCATAGGTCATGAGTTCGAATCCTGCTCGTGGCCCTTTTCCGCACGTTGTTCCCCCATTCTTCTCCCCCACTTTCCTGTCTCTCTCAATTGCACTCTCAAATAACGGCAAAAAGGCCAAAAAAAATAACCTTAAATAAATAAAAAATTCCTTATTTGACTCCACTGGGGATTCCAGAGGTTACACGTACGCAACTGCACTCACCTGCGTGTAGGATGTGATGTGTTTACAGCCGTAACTGAGGCTGAATGAGAGCATGAAAAGAAGCCTCAGAGATCAAAACGCTGGTGTTTTTGAGCTTCTTCAAATTCTATTTAAAGTCCAGCTGTGTACCAGAGACTCCAGTGTATTTTTATAGTATATCTACACAGGAGGTGTTTTCAGTCGTCTGCCTCACATGCATACTTTTTTTTTTTTTGTTCGGTGTGAGTTTATTTAAAGTAAACAATAAGAAAGACAACAAAGAGACAACAACAGATATAGATAAGCTTAACTAGATAACAGAAGCTAACTTGTAGATGCATGACAGAGAACTAGAATATTCTCTTTTTGTTGTTTTTCCATCGTTTTGTACACTCTCTTTTCCTCTGTGCAGTCGTCTGTGTCAGGCTCATCCGACTCTTCGGACCATCGACATGTTCACTTTCAGAGGACCTTCTCAGGTTGGAGACAGACTGCTGATGAAGGCAATAGTCAACAACGCCTTCAAAAACAGGTACAGTGAATCCAGGGACAGTCATAAAGATACAGAAGATAAGATCAGAGAAAATATGGCATGAGGGAGAACATGGGTGATGATAACAGCTTGGTATTGCAGCAGAGAAGAAATTGTCTCTGATGTGTTTCCTGCAGCATGGAAGTAGGGGTGCGTGCAGAGGCCTACCACGAGGACGGGCCTAACCGACACATAAACTCAGCCTTCATGACCTTTGAGGTGCTTGATGACCACGGGAAGCCATGCACGTTACCAAGGATACGACCCGAACCTCTGGTGAGCTCGTTAGTAGAAGATCCTACCCACATAGGAACACTAGCACATCGCTACTCAGGATTCTATCTATTTGCAAAAAACAAAACAAAACTGGAACCTTGGCTCGTCAGACTTGCCACAAATTAAATTTGTCTGACAGTAGAGGCCACAAAAGTTGGTAAAATGTCCACCAAAGACTGTATTTTCACCCAAAACTATGGATTCACACTTGGATATATGCCTATAGAAAATTTCTGGGGCCCCAAAACTACCTTGCTTGAAAATTTTCAACTTCTTCCTGCATTTTTAGGGACGAATGATTAATATTATGGCCTCTGCTAGAGCCATTGAAGCATTAGGATCTGCTCTAAACAACTTTACCTGTGTCCTCATTAAATTTCATGGCAGTGGAAGTTGTATTTTTAGAGATACTGAACCCTTAAAATGCTTTCCTAGCTAAGATGATATTTCGTCTGTGAAAATGCAAAATTTCACAGGTCTGACAACGTTTTGAATTCTCAAACTTCTGACAAAATATTGTGATCGGACTTAGTTTGGGGTTATAAATAACAAATAGGTAAACTCTCAACAAAATCTGAGATAGGGCAGCAACATATTTCTTGAGTTCTGTCTGAATTGACACGGATTGACCCATATCTATATCTACATGGCTGAACAAAGATCAGAGCTGTAAACCTAACAGCGGTTAGGAATGATGGATAGATGTCGGCAATCATAAACCCTTTGACGAAGCAGCCTTTGTGTTCACTAAAGCAGCTCTTATCAGTCTTCAACACTTACAAGAGATCAGGTGAAAGGTGCTCTGTTTATGGGTGCTACATTATGAGATAATAATATCAGCGATATAAACAAACACAGCCAAGCCAGACCACCAATTAAAGGTTCACTGCACTGAATCTACATATTAGGATCAGTTTTCTTGCCACGAACAGTTCTGCTCAGCCGCTAAAAGCTGTTTAATTGCTTATGTAGCTCTTGAGGAAGTTTGTTCATGAAGTCGGAGAGAAGTAATTAGTGATAATAGACAACTGATGATGATGTTATTGGGTTTCTTTTAGGCTCAGGCCTGTGTTCAATGCTTTCAGGACAGGAAACGCCTGAAAGAGAAATGTAGGAACCAGTGTCCCATAGGAGGCTTTAAACTTTAGGATATCTGCTTCTTTAATTTAGACCTTGTTATGTTTCTTTGTTGAGTTGCCCATCTTCATGGACGAGAGCGTCCCCTATTTAGAAAAAAAAAAAAGATAAATATGATATAAATTGAAGACTCCTCCCTTTAAAAGAGATTCTTGCCTTGTTATCATGACCATATTGTGTTCTTCATATGCTGGAAGACACATAATGAGCAGAATAAGAAGTCAGCACCATTGTTGAGCATTTTCTCTCGATAACAGTCTTAAAAACATCTATTCAGACTTCTAGGTTTTCAGAAAATAGAAATAAATCCTGTTAGCTTTCCGGGTGGGGCTTTTGCTTTGATAATTCTTCAGAATCTGTTTCTGGCTCAAACGTGTGGCTCAAAGTACTCCAATATTACAATTTTTCATTTTGTAATGTCGAATAGTTTTGCAGTGATTCAGCAGAGTTATGGGTGAGCTGGTGTGCTCGAGCAGCAGTGAGTGGCGGCTGGAGAAAGAGGTTGGGACATCATATATCTGCACATTATAGAGGAAGCAACAGTGTAGAGTTGCATCTTAGTCATTTTAGGGGCTGGAATGGGATACTGTCATTGTAAAACCTTCTAAACATGTAACTTTGACACACGGAAATTAATTTTATCAGGGTTTAATCAATGAATAAAGAAGATAAAATGATGTGAAAAGCTGATTTGAGCTGTAAAATGACCCTTGTCTGTCTGTGTTCTTCATTCACAGGAAGGTGAGAGGAGGTTTCAAGAGGCAATAGCCAGGAAAAAGATCAGACTGGACAGGTGAATATCTATTGACCCCCATTAACAGCACTTACTTTCTTAGCTTTTAAATCCACTTGTGTTTGTCAGCGGTTGACACAGTTTGCATGATATTTCTCTGGACTTAAAATAACAGGAGAGGCTCTCGACAGTGTGGAGAATGTTTGTCACAACACTCTTCATGCTAATGGTGTGCATGAAGCATTTGAACATTGGTCTGCAGTGTCACTGTTAGTCAGAAACAGCAGCCTCTCATGTAACTGCGTAGTCACTTCTGTGCTTCTAATTGTTCTTCTTTTGCGTTTTAGAAAATACATAATTTCTCGTAAACAGGCTGAGGTCCCTCTGTCTGTACCCTGGGACCCCACAAACCAGGTGAGGAGAAGCTTCAGGCCTTAGCAACGACTAATTTATGCTTATTTTGCTACGAATGGTCACATGTGTAGAGGAATGGATCTGTAGAGAGAAAACAAAGAAGTGTCAGATGGCTTCTACTGGTTCATATTTACTGGCTGAACGGTGACATTTTTTTTTGCACACCTTTGTTTGCTGACATCCGTTACACCAGCTGATCAACCAAGTCACCAGTATTTGGTACTAAAACCAGTAGAACACTGGATCCCATATGATCTACTGTGACTACTGGACCAAATGCAGATTTCAGTGCTTTTATTACAGTATGCTGCTTTAGAAGATTCTGGTTTTCCTTCACCCCCCATCCAGTGACCACCCTCACACAACTTTAGTGTTTAAATGTGTGATATGCATTGATAATGGACATAAATATGTAATTTACATAGAAGTAAACAACTATTTACTATGAAAAGATTTAGTGCGGTAATGACATCCTTAGCAAAGAATGAAGGCACACTCCCGCTGTTTGTGTGGGTCGTGGGTGCCAAGGATCAGCGTCGCTTTCAGGAAGAAAAGGTTGGCTCTTGTTGTTCAATCGCACAGAAAAGCTACTGTAGCACAAACTGCCAAAAACCTTTTTGTTGCTATGACAGAGTTTGTTGTGTGGCGCTGAGTCGCTGCAGACGGGTCAGAGTGCCCTCGCTGACCCCTGTCCACCACTAAGAGCATCTACAATGGGTACGCTCCTGAGCTGTTTACCAGAGAAGAAATGGCAGCAGGATGCACTGTGGGAAGGAGGCGAGCCAGCAGAGGCACTGTAATGGGCAGTGTTCTGCTGGGAAACCTTGGGGTTTGGTATTCATGTTGACTTTGAGCACGTACATCACTTTAGGGCAAACAAACAGAAAAAGACACTTGTATTAGTGCTGGTGAGCCCTTGAGCAAAGTAATATCAGGGAAGATATGTGGTAGCATAACGACCCTATATCAAAATGTGTTGTGCGTGTTTGTTTCCAGGTGTATCTGAGCTATAACAATGTGTCAGCTCTGAAGATGCTGTCTGCTAGAAACAACTGGCGCCTCAGCTCTGAGAAAGACAAGGTATCTTCTGTTCTCTCCCTGGAAGGCAGCCTTTTTTTTTTTTGCTTTACATGCTGTAATGAGAGCGTTGTTTTCTCTAGTAGCTGAATGTTTCATGTGACTCTTTGTTCGTAGGTTCGTCTTTACACCCTGGAGCACAAGTCCATGTTGAGTTTCAGGGTGGAGTCGGAGGTGGACGTTCCTGCTCACAGAGCCTTTTGTCTGCTTGCTGAGCTGAGCAACAGACCGAGCTGGGACACACATTACAAGTAAAGCTTTCATGCACCCACACATGTACAAACTGTGAAAAATCTGTTAGAGCTAAACATACTATCTCATTGCTACATGTAGCAAGGTCAGTATGTTTTATTGCTTTTGCTCAGGTTTAGCAGGCGGAAGCACATTAAAGTTCAGCTCCTCTGTACCTGCATTGATGATTCTACTTTGAGGAATAAGAGTAAAAGCAACTTCATTAACCCAGGAAATGACTTCATGAAAGCCAGAGGAGCTGCCGAGGTATCTTAATGAACCTGTGAGGAGCTGCCAGGAGATGGTGTTCAGGCAGATGTTCCAGATAGAAAGCTGTTCTGGAAATGCTTCATTACAACAAGCCTATTAAAAATTGGTTTTGCAAACAGACTGTTTGCAGGATAAAGAGTGAAGCCTGGCACTGCTCCTCACCTATTAACAACATCTCTACTGTGAAGCATGGTGGTGGCAGCATCATGTCAAGGGGCTGATTCTCTGCAGGTACAGAAAACCGAAGA